CTTGCTTCTGAATCATTCCCATGGCTTTGAGGCGTTTTGAAATGGCTTGTTGAGTCACTCCTAATGATCATGCCAATTCTTCTTGATTTTAACACGAGTCTTGATCAAGTAATGCCTCCAATTCTGCATTTTCGAAAACCTTCTTTCTTCCACCGCTATTCCGGTCTTCGACGTTAAAATCACCATGAAGCATTGAAACCACCCAGATATGCCAATTCTTCTTGATTTTAACACGAGTCTTGATCAAGTAATGCCTCCAATTCTGCATTTTCGAAAACCTTCTCTCTTCCACCGCTATTCCGGTCTTCGACGTTAAAATCACCATGAAGCATTGAAACCACTCAGGACACGTTCTTTCACTAATAGAGGCCTCACCATAAGTATTTGAGAGCATTCGATGAGCCTCAGCCGCAGATTTCTTCATATTGAAGCAGAAAATTAATGTTGACTTTTGCAATGGTAGTAGGCAATAATACCAACATTCCTATTCTATAAATAAAGATATATCCTATTCTGTAATGAAAACTAATTTATGAAACCATAAATATTTAAAATGACATAATATTATCAATAATGCAGTCACTATTATTTTAATTACGCAATTTGCAAAAGAACACCGTAAGAATTTTCTTCATATTTTCGACGAATTTGATTCGTGAAACACCGTAAGTTCAGCGGCTATCTCTCTCAAACTGAAATGACGATTTTTTTAATTAGCTAAACAGATCATGATTTCATTAGTATTAATAAAGTGCAATAGTTAGTTTCTGAGAAATAATGGAATGTCACTTTAGGAGACCTATGTCAGTATCGACGACTTTCCTCTACTTTATTACATATATTTGACTCTCATGTGCCCTTTATTCTCTCGTTATTGTTTTTAAATTAAGAATTCTTGTAATAACTTATTTAACTCATTTATATTACTTATATTATTTATACATTTTTATTTCAGATATTTTTACTGCTTATAATCATTATACTTAAAAGCATTTCTATTATTGTTTATTGTAATTTTAACTTTTACGTTATTTTATTATTTTATTAAATTGAGGTATTAAATCTTATGATCTTTTATCAATGTTTGTTAAGGATGTATTAGACGTACAGTCCCTGCAAAGAAAATTAAATTTGGAAGTATGTTTAATATTTACACTTCAAATAAACTATATACATATGAAAGTTATGTGAATAAGATTATATTTTTATTTAATAATACATTTTTGTAGTTTATTTATTCTATTTGTTATTACTTTTATTGTTAAATATTAAAATTTTGAAAATGATAAAGAGATTTATATTTTTTGTTATAAGTACTTTAAATATTCAAGATAATTTATGCAAAGTTTCATTGCGATTCACTGATTAATTACAAAGATATAGAACAAATAAATATGTTGTTTATTTATTGGATAACGTGTTCATGCATCGCAATGTAACTTTACGGAAATAATTTTGAATACATAATGTACTTATACAAAAAATTGAGATTTTTGTCATTTATTTTATAATACATTTCCATGTATTTTTATATTTACAGCACAGATTAAAAAAATACTACTATTTATTAAAATAACTTATGATCCAGATAGTAAACCGAAATTTGTCGTATTATTTTTAAACGTGATTTAAGATAATTTTTTCATAATTTTGTTATCATTTTGAAAATATGTATAATACATTTTGTCAAAAAAGTACCGGGAATTGGTCAATAAAACACAAAATAGTTATTATTCATTCAAATTTATTGTATTGCCTTCAAAGTAGGTCCCTTCGGAAATAATACACTTATGCCAACGAATAATCCAATCATTAAAACATTTTTTAAACGCATTTTCCGGAATCGACTTCAGTTCTCGCCGCGAATTCTCTTTTATGTCTTCTATCGACTGAAAACGAGTGCCTCGAAGTGGTAATCTGAGTTTTAAAAAGAGAAAAAAGTCAGCCGGAGCCATATCAGGTGAATACGGTAGTTGTTCGATGATATTTGTTGAGTTTTTGGCCAGAAATTCGTTCACAATGATAGCCTTGTGAGATGATGCGTTATCGTGGTGCAAAATCCATGAGTTTTTTTTCCACAAATCTGACCTATTTCGACGAATTTGATTCGTGAAATACCGTAAGTTCAGCGGCTATCTCTCTCAAACTGAAATGACGATTTTCAGTCACCATTTCCTTCACTTTATCGATGTTAATTTCAGTTGAAGACGTTGATGGCCGACCAGAGCGAGGCAAATCTTTCACCACATCTCGACCGCTTTTCAATGCACTGTACCACTCATATGCACGTGTTTTTGATAAAGTCGATTCACCGTAAGCCTTCTGTAACATCTTCAGCGATTCGGTTTTTTTTAGCACACGAAATTCCATTTGCAATACAAAATTTGAGACAAATTCTTTGTTCGATCTTTTTATCCATTGTAAAAATCGCAAAACACACTTGAGATGACCTGACGAAATCGAGCATTATAAACAAATTAAATGACAGAGGGCACTCAAACTCCGCGTCAGTATAGAGGACAGTTATGCCAACTTAGCGACAAAAAGAATTTTGACAATTCCTTTAAGCGGGGTTTTTAAATGATCAATTCCCGGTACTTTTTTGACAGAATGTACATCCTTAAATTGTATCTTTATTCTTACCAGATTCAGTTTGTTTAATCATCCCGAAGTGACCCAAGAATTTTTATTCTTTAACAAAGATGACAAAGTAAAACAAAAATTATGTCGGGAAATAGCTTTGCCCGGTTATAAAGTTATTGCTGAAATGCCATCACCTAGATTTATAAAAACCCACTTGCCTTTCAACATGTTGCCTGGACTTGCAGATGCGGGTTGTAAGGTAATAATTAAAAAAAATGAAAAGATCCCTCTTATTAAATGTAATTTTCTATTTTTGTAACTTTCCTTAAAGATTGTCTATATTGCTCGCAATCCGAAAGACGTTGTAACCTCCTGGTATCATCTTAATTGCTCAATTAAGACACAAGGATATTTGGGTGACTTTTCCACCTTTTTAGATTATTTTCTAAATAATTTAAGTAAGTATAGAACATATCCAGAGAAAGAGCTATATATTTCTTACTTCTCTGTATCTTATTATAGATATTTTTATTATTTATCACATTCATGGGTTGTTTTTCTGAAAGTTTTATCTAGACGATTTATTTGTATCCATATATTCGTAATAGTTCGTAAGAAATAAATTTTGAATATAAAGTAAGAGATTGAAAAGATCGTAATAGATCCAATGGTAAAATTAAAAATTAAAATTATGCTTTATTTCGACAAAAATTAATGTATGGTTTTAGAAATAGAATATGAATATGAAATTAAATATATTAAATTCAAACTGTGTGTGTGCTAATTCTATATATAAAATAAATCCAAAAACTGAAATTGAAAATTGAACAAAACCAATACATAATTTTATAGTTCTTATCTATAAAAGTCTTTTTATAAAAATTCTTCTTCACAAAAAATTTTATATTACAAATGTATATTTTATATATTTAAATTGTAATTTTTATATTTTTACAAATACTAACTAGTAATCCAACTTAAATGAATAAAAAAGTTTAAAATAGAAATTTTTTTAAATATAATTTTGCAATAAATATTTTTTTTAGCTATCACATATGACTCTAATTATTCATGCAAAGTTGGATCTTTCAATCAAGAGTAAAATATATCGTGTCCATTTTCCGTCTGTAAAAATTTTATTCTTTATTAAATTCTATGAACAAAAATTGTGTGATTAATAGAAAGGAAAAAGTATTAGTCGTTAAATTAAAATAGACTTATCCCAAAAAAACCAATAACTTTAATAAAAATAATACGCATATGCACGTAAACATTTTTTTAAAATAATCTGCACTTTGTGTGTGTGTGTGTAACCTCTCAAAGCGTTGATCTTTCTACTTAGACATTCGATATGACTTTTACTATTATTGACTTATACATATAGGGTAATTCCGGCAAATACGCCGCGCTGGGATTTACGCCGCAGAAATCAGAAAAAATAGAAGGAGTGGGAGTAATTTTCCCGTAACTACTCTGTTACATGCTTTTATGTTATACTAGTATTGTGTTATGATTTCAGCTTCTTACTGTTAATATTAATGAATTTATTGTGAGTTGAATCGATTTGTCACTGTAATAAGTAACGCCATCATAAGTTATAATCTACATAAAATGATTAATGTAGGACGTGTAAAAGACTTAGTGGTTATTTCGTAATACATACGTGTAGTGGAATAGTAAAGCATGTTTGTATTATTAAGCATGTTTGCATTATTTGTAAATTTTTTATGAGCCGTACATACCTCCTTTCCCTCTGTGAGTAGCCATATATCACACCCCTATGAGATATGCGGAAAAAATACAAGGTTTCAAAAAGGTTTATTTTTTAATATGAAAAATAAATATTTCGGATTTCTAATATTTTTTTCATAGTAGTGTAGACAGTACAAAGTTTTTACTGATATAGTTCGTTTACTATAAACATAGTAAATAATACTTAATAAATTAAGTTTTTGATAGGTGCGGCGTATATACCGGAGTTACCCTATTTGTTCTCTTTTTGGAGGAAGGGTGAAAAGAGTGCTTTAAAAAGATAATTTTTAATGCCTTTACCTTTTTACCTATATAGCACCTTGGTCGCCGTATTGGGAACATATTAAGGAAGCCTGGTATTTAAGGAATTCGAAAAATCTTCTCTTTTTATTTTACGAGGATGTCACACACGTAAGTGTATACAAAAATTTTTGTTCTCAATTAAACAGAGAAAAGTCATCGATATTATTTTGCTTTTGGACAATAAGTTGACCCATTAATCGTCAGGGTACCAGTAATCGCCATGTTTACGTATTAAAGACATACTTTAGTATTTTTTATTGATCGTGCAAAAAATTTGTTGATATTTTTATTAGTTCCAACAAGGTATTTACAATGTTGTGTTACATTATGAAACTCGTAAGTATATAAGTTCACTACAGATTAAATCGAATATGTGCGGCAACCGAGTCGATTCGTGATTTTGACCAAATGCTTCATTGTGAGGTTAAGAGATACCATTTGACATCTCGTGTGATTTGGAATATTGGCAACTTGCATGAAGTAAATTGAGCATCAAATTATACTTAAATCAAGATCGCAGTTTTACGTACACCATCACAAATTATTGTTTCGTACAAATTTCATATTTTTTTTTACGTGACGAGCACCGGTTCATCGAAGCACGTAGTCGTTCGAGTAATCGCCACACCTGTTGATTACTGAGACTAAGTGACCTGAAAAAATTCTTGTAAATAAAATAATAATTTTATCCAAAATCCAAATAGAAAAATCAGAACCGTAATTGTTATTATCTAGAGATTTTACGGACCAGTAATCGTCATAGGCATAGTCGAGTTAATAAATAGATATGCAAACAAATAAAGAATGTCGATCACTGGATCATTTATATGTCGATAACTGGGTACGTTAGAGATGGGCACTACTCAAATAAAAACTAATTAAGTATTTACAATTCTTTTCTGTTGAAATAGTTATTAACAGTTATTGAAAATTTATAATAACTAGATCAGAGCGCGCGCTACGCGCGCGCCACGTGTTATTTTTTAATTGTGTTATTAATCTTACCGTGTATAATTTTCGTGTACAATTTTCAAATTCGATAAACCTTATACCCACAACAGCGTGTAATATTGCAGTGATATTGCCATGAGATTACAACATTGCAGTAATAGCGAAACTGGTAGTGCAATAGTACGTAAATATACTACTGAGATATTACGTACTATGATATATTACAATGTAATATTGCAATAATTTTATTATTATCTTACCACATATAATTTTTATACGTAATACCACTGAGATATTACGTATGATATATTACAATGTAATATTGCAATAATTTTATTATTATCTTACCGCATATAATTTTTATACTAAGATATACTACGACATATTACATATATTACGACATTTTATGATATAACTCCAAGATACTCACATAAATACAATTGTTTTGTTCCATTAATATTATGCTTCCTTTCATATCAATTTTCCTTCATTTCCTGCTTTCCTTCTTGCTTATCCTCTGTTCTTATCTCTTTTAATTCCTCCTTCTCTTCCTTTTTCTCAATTTTCTCAAACCATTCTTTTTCTATTTCCTTGCCTTTCCTTTTCTGTTAAATCCTTCCTTCTTATAAGGCCTTTTTTTTCAAAATCACTAATAATTTTCATATATACAATTTTAAAATTCAATAAACTTTATACCCACGCAGCATGTAATATTGCAGAGATATTGCCGTGAGATTACAATATTGCAGTATTATTGCAACTTTCAGTGCAATATTATTTAAATATACTATTGAGACATTACGTTGCGATATATTGGAATGTAATATTGCAATAATTTTATTACTATTTTACATATAATTTTTATATATACGATATATTACGATCGACATATTACAATAATGTAACACTGCAATAATTCTGTTATTAACTTACAACATATAGTTAATTTTTATATAATTTTTAAATTCAAAACTTTTGTGTCCTGATCTATTAATTACAACATTAATATATTTAAATGTTATTATCAATATTATGATTCACATTTATTACTACTATCACGTTAAATTAACATTCTCTATAAAATTTTCAATTATAATTTATCACTTGAAAACAAATTTAATCATTTATTAACTCCTTTTTTATTACTGTACAGAATAAATTTTTTATTTTACATAAAAGATGATTTTATCATAGATTTTGCATCCTTCAGAATTATGCATATGGGCATATGGAATAATCCATTCCCAAAAAGCATGTTCATTACTGCAGAATATAACAAATTTAAATATATAGAAAAAGTAATATTATAAGATATTATGTGTGTGTGTGTTAAGTAAAATTATAGACAAACTCTTTATAATCATTTTTAATGTGTTCATATATAATTAAAATTTATTAAAGAATTATAATTCTCCTTTTATAATTTATAATTTATTTCATAAAATCAACAAGGCCGAATCTTTTTATTGAAACATTTCTGTATATACATAATTTTTAACTAATAATCTATTTTGCCTTTCTTGTCCCAAATAAATTTTTAATGATTCCCAAGATCTAACTCGTGAAAATGCGACATAAAGTTGTCCATGATTGAAAACATCTTTTCTTAAATCAATCGCAATTTTGTCAAATGTTTATCCTTGTGACTTATTTATTGTCATGGCAAAAGCTATTTTAATTGGGAATTGTCTTCTTTTAAATACAAATGGATAAATATCTTCATAATATAAAGTTATGCGATTTAGAAAAACTATTTTTCCTTTTTTATCACCAGTCCAAATTTCGCACTTTAACAAATTGTTTCCCAGTTCTAAGATTAATAGTCTTGTACCATTACACAAACCTTCATTGATTCTCAGATTTCTAATCAGCATTATAACCATGTATTTTCTCAATCGAAGTTCATAAGGCGGAAGATTTATTGGATTTAAAGAATTTAAATACTCTGGTAAAATTGCTTCATTAATATCATGATAATCATTAGTAGTTTCAGCAGTGTCTACACTTGTATATACTCTTTCTGTTGATTCATCAAGTAAATTTACAACTTGTTTGTTTATTTCGTCTACGTCAACATTTCGTGCGGAAAGTATAGCACGCTTCGCTGCAAGTCTATACTGATTGTGTTTGATTACTTCTTCATATGTATCTTTTATTATATCTGCATTTAAGTCTGCTGCACATCTCAGTGGAATTTTAATATTATTAAAATGATCATTTAAATTATCATTACCTAAATCTAATAAAAAGTGAGCAAATTCGTCTTCGTGTGGTAAAATACGCATATTTTCCGTTAATGAAAAGATTTTGAAATTTTCCATAATGAACTAAATTTAATTGACAAATTTACAATTTCAAAACGTGTAGCTCTTTGTTCAATTTTGACGACTGATTCTTGTAGAGAATTTCATAGCGCATCTTTTTTGTCATTAAACCAAAAATTTGGAAATTTTTTTATATTTAAGTTATAAACAAAAAAAGTAATTTTTTAAATGAAAAAAATTTCAATCAGTTTTTGTGTTCAACACGTCATATCTCAGCCAAATATGAATATTTTTCTTTAAAATTTTAACAGGGTGAACTCCAACATCTTTCTCGAAATATAAAGCATATAAAAAATTGTGGTATGTTATTTTTCATTAAATCTTGCAAGAGACGATCCATTATTTCAAGGGCATATCGCGGTGCCCCATTGGTGCTTCATCCTAAATAAAAACATCTGTTTTATTCAAACAATCAGCTTCTTTTGATTGAACTTTTATGTTTGATGTTAAATCAGCAAAAAGTGGCACAGACAAACCTAAAGTTTTATGAACTGTTCTTCCATTTGGTATATTAACGTTGCAGCAATACAAGTGAAAGCCATTGCACTAACAACTTTGCCTTAAGATTTGAGTAAATAATACAATGTTGTGTAAACGAAAGTTTTACCTGAACCTCCTGGACCATCAATATATAAACATTTAATCTGTTGACTATCGTTTTTTTTTTTCAAAAGAGTTAAAACAAAATCAACGATAACTTTTTGGTTATAATTTAACTTATTATACTGTTGTTCACAGAGTAGAGTTTCTCTTTTTAATTGTTCTGTATCTTCTTTTTCATATTCTGTTATTATTTGTTCCATTTCTGAAAATCGTGAAAGTTCCCAACCTTCTTTGCGAAGTAATTGATCGATTTTTTTCGTAAGCTTTTCTAATTCCAGTAACATGTCTATATCGTCGTATATAATCTTCACAGACATTGTAATTTTAAATTCATCCCATAATTCTCTTGGGTGCATCGGTTGACAATGCATTGATATTCGAACAAAAAGTAGTTTAAGACGTTTCGGCATCATCCAGATAGAAGCTTCGTTCATTGCACGTTTCCATTCTTCGTCGTCTTCAATTAAACCTAAAGCTAAACATGCGGAAGTAAACGTTTAATGTAATTCACCATTGAGTGTTTTTAAATCATTATAACTTATTGCTCCATTGACATTCATTAAAAGAATACGCAAGTGAAATAACTCTATTTCAGTTGGGCTAACTGAGTACATGCGTCTAATGCAATTGAGGGGCTGGATTCTATAAGGGGATACGCGTGGATATCGCGGGATAAGTATTGTCCG